GAGGCTACGCTTACACAATAGACAAAACCAAGTCCAATACAACCATAACAATTTCATCCACACAATCCTTATTTATTTATGCAAGTCCTGTCCCACCTTTCCTTCAGAAGATAAATGTCTTCCAAAGGAGATTGCCTGGTAATTCTCAACTGGGGATGATCTGCTCCTAGGGGAACTCTGTCCCTTGTCTGCCGCCCACACTGAATCCAAAAATCCTCATTGGCTCTCTTGGGAATTTTTGCTTGTGGAATATTATGGAACAGTTGGACGGCTGCCTTCCTTCCTCTAAGGAAAATATTTTGTACCATAGCATACTTACACCTCAGAGCCAGGAGGCAAAGCATCATTGGGGTCAGAATATTTTTCAGAGATCTTTGCATTACCTAAGGAAGCAATTACAGTAAGGTCATGATGACGGTCAATAACACCAGGCAGCAAAAATGCAAATGTGTTTTCAGAAATGTGTCTGGGTTTCCAATAACATAACTTTGGTGAAAGTTCTCTTAAAGGACATGGAGGTTCTTCTCTTCTGTCCCTCCAAGGACCATTCTGGGATGATGTTGCCCAGAGGAAGCAGCAGGTATCAGAGCGTTGGTATTCTTACATTCTCCAGGAGAGCTGTTTTTTGAATGAGTAATTCCCTCAACAGCCATTTTATGATTGTACTCACTGAATATTTTAAAAATACCCTTTTTCCCATCATCCCCCACCCCACCTTCAGAGAAAAAAACAAAGGGAATGCATGTCCTGGTGCTAGAGGTTGAACTCTGGAATGATCTAATTACGCATCTTTGAACAATTAAGGTCTTCTTTATTAGTAGTAGCCACAGAGGCTACTATTCATAAAGAAAAGGAATGGAAAATAATATATCATATAGTTTACATGCTGTTCCTACCTTTTGAAAAAATAAATTGTTGTGCCATTGTGCAAAAGCTGTTTCCTTGTTTAGGAGATGTTGAGATCAGTGGTTTAGGAGGACAATCCAGGACACTGCAATTTAAGGGGAAATACAAATATCAACAGAAATAAATTTTAACTGTTCTTCTGATTATCAAAACTGTTCCTAGGAAGAATGTTGTTGAGGAATTTTATGTCATTGTTGGTCTCCCATTCATCACTAAACCATACAAGGCCAACTAGAATTGATGAATAAAACAGGCTTTAAGATTGAAAAAAAGGTAAAATATTTGGGGATTAATCTGACCAATATAAACAATATGTTGTCCCAGAATAATTATGTTAAGACATGGAATGAAATTAAGAAAGATATGTTAAGATGGGAGAAATTACAACTATCATTGTTGGGAAGAATTTCTGTGATAAAAATGAATGTCTTCCCTAGGATACTCCTTTTGTTTCAGACAATAGCAATTGTGACTACTGACTTACCATTTAAGCAATGGCAGAAGGATATAACTAGACTTATCTGGCAAGGCAAAAAACAGCGAGTTAAATATAAGGTGTTGCAAGATGCTAAAGAAAGAGGAGATTTAGCCTTGGCTGATTTCAGATTGTAATTGGCCACTTATTATTTGGTTTGGTTGAGAGAATGGGTGTTGCTGAGAAATAACAAATTATTGGATTTGGAAGGACACAAATTGAGATTTGGGTGGCACGGCTATTGATGGTATTATAAAGTTAAAGTTAATGTGGATTTTAAGAATCACTTTATTAGACGTGCCATTTTGAGAATATGGAACAGATATAAACTTAGGCTGTGTCCAAGAATACACCTATGGTCATCTCCACAAGAAGCATTTTATAGGAAAGAAATGGTAACGAAGCAGAAATGGTTAATCTGTGTTGATATCCTTGATATTCATCAAGGAGAAATTAAAGTAAAAGCAAGGGAGGATTTGACATCTCAGGGACATTTATGCCACTGGTTTTCATATGTAGAACTTGGAGAAAGATATAAAGTTAATAAAAAGATACAGTGTTTTGAACAAAACAAAGCTGTTTTTGAAACTGAATTGTGTACCAATGATGAACACTGTATCGCTAAAATGTATAAGCTTTTGCTGAGATTTGAAACAGAAGATGAACAAGTTAGAGACTGTATGATCAAATGGTCTAAAATTTTTGGGCACAATATACAAATGGAACAAAGGGAAAATATGTGGATGAAAGGGTTAAAATTTACACTGTATCTTAATTTGACGGAGAATTTCTATCAAATGATGTATAGATGTTATTTGTCACCAGAAAGATTATCCAAAATGTACAAAGGGGTTTCAAAGATAGGTTGGAAATGTGAACCACAAGAAGGGACTTTTTATCATCTTTGGTGGACATGTAATAAGGCTAAAAAATTTTAGATCCAAATTCATATATTAATTCAAAAGATCTTGAAGGTTAATATACACTTAAAACAAGAGACTTTCCTTTTGGGACTGATGGACAAACAATTGGTAAAATATGAGGATGGAAGAACAAAAAGAATTGATAGAATAAACCTGGTTTAAGATTAAGAAAAAGGTGAAATACTTGGTATCACTCGGACTAATATGAATCGTACGTTGTTTCAGAACGATTATGTTAAGACATGGAAGGCAAGATGGTGAGTTAGTCATTTATCTAAACACTCCCTGGTGTTTAGTGGGTATCTCTATTGAATTATCAACAATAGTCCCACCAGGCGAAGGTGATTTAATTTACTTTAATGTATTTGATTAGGGCACTACCTGCCTCCAAATGACTCTGGGCACCTCAGAAGGCAACTAAGAAAATGTAATACGACATAACTGGGGGGGGGGGGGGAATAAAAGCTGTTAAAAAAACAAGATGACATTTGCAGGCAACAGAACTCAAAGGGGCTCTTACAGTTTAAAACCAAATTTTTACAAAATGATGTACCATGGGTATATGACCCCAGAGAAGTTATCTAAGTTGTATAAAGGCACTTCTAATTACTGTTGGAAATGTGAAAAACAGGAAGCAACATTTTATCATGCATGGTGGACTTGTGAAAAAAACAAAAAACTGTTGGACACAAATACAAATGGTGATGCAGAGAGTTTTAAAAATTAATATTCAGAAGAAACCACAATTTTTCTTAGTACGACTTATGGACAATCAACTAGAAAAGGCTCATGGATTATTGTTGTTATCAAAGGTAACTGCAGTGAGGCTGTTATACACACAAAAAAGGGAAAATATAGAAATACCCATCCTGGAGGAATGGGTCGTAAAGATAGGAGAACTTGCCAAAATGGCTAAATTGACTTCTTTGATCAAGAAGGAAACAACAATTACTTTTATGAAAGACTGGAAACCCTTTATGGACCTTTTGCTGAAAATGGATAAAAATGAATTGGGGATTTGGGGATTCCTAGATTAAAAAGGTTTGTTCATGAGAGGAAGGGAACCGTGATATGAAATCTGGTAGGTTGGAAATGGGAATTATGTTTGCAACTGCTGCAAAGAAGGTCGGAAGTCACTTCTTTAGATATCTTTCATATCCTCTCTTTCTTTTCTAATCTTTCACTTTTTCTTTTAGTCTTTTTTTTCTACTTTTTTATGTTTCCACAGGTTTTTCACCTGATGTAATTTTTTCTTTTAATAAAAATTATATTATAAGCCTAAAGAAAGAGGAAGCTTTTTGACTTCAGTTCCAAGAAACTGAGCAGCAGAAACAGTATCATCTTGAGGTTTCACCATCAAGATTAATTGTTCCATAGAGGAGGGGCTGGAAATCTTCTCCTTGGCTTTTTTCACCTTCACCATTTCATTTCATGAGACACAATGAACTCTTCTTCCCAAAAAGTACAAAAGGACACTTTGCAAAATGAAAACAAACGGACAAACAAACAAAAAGGTCTGTAAAACAGGCTCACCCAATTTCATTCCAAATAAAGGACTTTAAAGGAGGGAGAGAAGAAGCATAAAAGAGAATGCTGTTTTTGACAGGAACCCCATTGATGAATTTTCATGACATTATTACAAATGGAAAACA